CTGGTTGGTCATGCTTTAATTGTTCTTTAGAACAATAAAGATAAAATATCTAACGCATAATATTTGTAAGTATTTATGTTCTCTCGTTGGCATTTATGTTAAGCATCAAACTGATCAATCTCTTTTAAAGTATGTACATCTCCAGAAAACTTCTTATATAGTTCTATTTAGTCACAAGATTGAAATATTGTTAAATAATAGTTGGCAATGGAACCTAGAAAGTGTCAACTGTACACATTTCCATATCTAATCCATTCTCATGACTTAGCAACTAACTTTAGTGGTCCAGGTTCTAACACCTGTTGAATCGTATGAGTGTGTACTGGCTGGTCTTATGTCAAGCCCACATAGCTTATTTTAGCCTCTGGACAGGCCGATTCAATGGCTCTCCTTGAGTCACGTTTTCAACTTGTTAATTATTTACTTAACAACTTTGACTGTTTTTATGTGGGTGTATGTCAGTGTGAGTACGCTTCTTATCTCACTCATCGTTTGTATGTAGCTTATTTTTGTGTGACTATAAATATTGATTAACACTTGGTTAAATAGAGTTGGCTTATGTGCATTCTCCACTACTCGTCATCTCGCTTCGTCGCTCTGATTGTCAGCCCAGATCAGTGAGTGTACAAAATATTTATGTTCAAAATCCATTCACGTATTTGACTTATTCAGTTCTGTTATTCACTAACATATGTGAAGTCAATAATTATACACGACAATTGACAACATGTATGTTTCTACAGCATTCAATCATACGATCCAACTGGAGTCAGATCTCCGGCCACTAAAAATGTTATCCTGGCTTTCCTCGTGGATAATTAACAATTTAGTGAATAAAGGAATTAAAATAAGTCCAAAACGAGAAAGGATTTCGAACATGCATATTTCATACAATCGTTCATCTGGACAGACATTCAGAGGAACGATACAAATAGAAGAGAATAAAGAGAAATGACACACAGTGGAGAAGGAGTGTAAGCCAACTCCATTTAACCAAGCGTTAATCAATATTTATAGTTACACAAAAATAAGCTACAGTCATGTGATGAATAAGATAAGCAATGCAGACACATACGCTCATATAAAATCAGTCAAGGTTTTTAAGTGAATAAGTTACAATGTCTAAATGGCCTGTTCATCCAAAATCTAAAATATGTTATATCAGCTTAATTATCAGTATAAGGGTAGTGGAGATTATTAATTCATTGATTGAATTCATGAACCGATTGATGTTAGACCACCATTAAAAACCTGGAAGCATTGGAAGGCGTTTCATCCTATTGTGGCGCTCAGTAGTGCGCATCCATACTCCCGCTCGCGGGATTCAATTCTAGGGTTTTCAGTCTCGCGCGAAAACGCCTAACATCTAGACCACAGAGATGTTCACCATACAATAGTGTGAATGTCTAACCTCATACAAACCAAGAAATTGCGCGATCATCTTTCATTGTACTGAGGTGAATAGGGGTATATATAACTCATCTAACATTTATCAGATTATCTACATGTCTGACTAAGCAGACAACTAATCAATATCATTCTCACCTACACATCATATTTCATTTTTAAAATTTGATCCAAACTTTTAATGAATAATGATGATAGTCAAGTTTCAATTGACTTATGATCTCAACTGTTGAAATTACTACAATCTCCACAAAACCCCTTCTCACATTAACACTGTTCGATGTCAGCTCAGTGGTCTAGTTGATTAAGCTCCTGGCGCGAAACTGATGTGTTCTTAATTCGAACCCCGCGATGTGGTGTCGTGGATACGCACTGCTTAGGTGTCCCACAATATAATCAAACGGCCGTCTAGTGCTTACAGATTTTCCATGGTGGTCTAGCTCCGATTGATTCATGATCTCAACTGTTGAAATTACCACAATCTCCACAAAACCCCTTCTGATAATAATGATAATAGTTCAACTATCTTCAATCGCCCACGATCTGACTCCAGTTAGATCATATGAATGATTGTTATTGAAATACATATTATCACCTATCGGCTTATCTCGTATAGAATCATCGACTTAACTGGCGTTAGTGTATAATGGAATCAAAATCAGTCAAATACGAGAATGAATTCTTAAATGCGTATATTTTGTACACTCACTGATCTGGAAAAGCAATCAAAGTGATAAACGGAATAGGAGAGATATGAAATGACGAGTAGTGGAGATTCCATGTAAGCCAACTCTAGTCAACCTAGAGTTAATCAATATTTATATCTAAAGAAAATTAAGCTATAGATATGTAACGAGTAGAATAGACAATATACACACCAGCGCTTACACAAAGATAATCAAGATTAATAAGTGAATAATGAATAAAATCAAGATATCTGACTCAAGAAGAACAGTTGAATTAGTCGGTCTATCGACAAGATAGAATAAGTTATGTAGGTTTAAAACACAGTATAACTAACATTATATATATCTCCTCGTGTTATTGTGATAAGTATATATATATATATATATATATATATATATATATATATATATATATATATATATATATATATCATTTCCTATCTACTTGAAATCTACGTATTACAAATTAAGCCGACATTCTAATTTATGAACGACCTTTGAACGAATCTTAGGTGGACTGGAGAAATATTAGCTAATGAAGAAAGAGTTAGTATAGAGAAAAAATATATAATACGAAACCAAAGAAATAAAGTGGATACACGTCTTCTACATGGTTCTAAACTTGTCAAGGTTAGAAAGAGGTTCAGAAGTTCTAAAACCGTGATGCATACAGTAGAGGAAATCATCCATACGGCTACAGAATAGTCGACATTTGGAGCCTCGACCACATAGATTCAATATTGTTTATGTGCACTCCGGTTGTTGAGAGCACGAAATGCTACTTGTGGATAACGACACGATGCACATAGCCAAGTCTATGTACGAGTCTGTACGCTCTCCAAACATCCGTGTATACTGTAGTACCTGCTTGCAGCCAGTGCCACTGATGCTTTAACTATCCAGTTCTCAATAATTGTCGTAATTTGTCTTAGTTAGGCTTTTCATCACGAACTGACATCAACTATAATGCCAGAAATTTATTTAGCCAAATTGATGAAAGGCTTTCACGTTAAAATCCGACATCTATTATCTTATACCTGATTGATTTGTCCACAAATTATTGTCTCGCCATTTTATTTGTTATGTGCACAAAATTCCCTGTTAACCGATCATACGTTAACATTCAGCAGTGAAATTGGCGCCGTAACCTTGAAATCTCTTAAACGCCTCCGATTGACAAGTTCATAAATTAAAGTCTTGCCAGTCTACGTTCAGATACAAATTAAAGGAATATAGAAAACTAATGAACTGAATTGTTCATTAAAGTTAATGGAGATGTTGTGACATTCAATAAGTATTATTAGTTATTATCTGAAAAACGGGAAAGAGAAAGACCAAAGTACACACATTATATCAAGAATTGAAAACAGACGTGAAAACAAAACGATAAACAGCAACTGAAAACAACTGGAACAGATTGTTCATGTTAGAGTTCAATGAAGAATGCTGATAAGTGACTTTTGCCTCCTCATGAGAGGTAACATGGTATAAATAAGTACTATTCATTACATATCTGACTGTATAGCCTTGGATAAATCAGCAGTAATTTATAAATGATTTGAGTGTATTATTACTTGTGTCCTGTGTGCCCTGTTCATGTACAATGAAATGATACCGTCAATTAGAGAACAGTGAATTATCGATCGAACCAGTGACGCCTAAAACACGTACGAGGAGTGTAGAGTCGTGATCGGTCCTGCTTCCTGTCTAACTAAGCCATTTTAGTCCAGAACACCAATCTCAGCCTCTGCAATACGAATCCTTATATTCCAAACATACTGAGTTTATATACCAATCAAACAGACCACATCGTTTCATGAAAAATAGGAAACAACAATTGTACACGATTGGCCAAATGTAGCTGTGAGTGGTGGAGATAGTGATTGATAGACTGACCATAATTCAAGAATGGTAAATCGTATATTAATCATTCATAAATCAAAATGAAGCTCATAATAAGAAGAACAGGAGTATGAGTAGTTTAGTTAGATGACAACTATACAATAACATTATACGTATGTTATATCCGAGCGAAGATTAAATTACAGGTAACTCCCGAGGACTATTAGTGGACTAATATTCTATAAATATTCTTATTGTAAAACTATTCAATCATTTAATTATGTATTTTTATATCCCTCTTATTATAAGCTTTATTTTGATCTATAATTTATTATTGTACGATTTACGGTTCTTAAACTATGTTCAGTCTATTAATTACTGTCCCCCTCGTTCACAGCCACTTTTTGGCTTATTTGTGTACATATGTTATTTCCTAATTTATGGTGTGTTGTGGTCTGTCTGTTTGATATATAAACCGAGTATGTTTGAAATAAACGATCTGCTCTGATTCGAAGCTGGTATTGTGTTCCGGACTCAAGTGGAAGGGCTCGTAGGACATAGGACCAATAAGGACGCTAGACTGCCCACACCGGTTGAACGTCATTGGTTGGCCTAGCGTGAAGATTCGTATAAGTCGTATCCGGATTGGTAGATAGGTCGCGTGATAGCAAACCCAGACATACTCAAGGTCATAACAACGTATAGTACTGATACATAAATGGATCCCAAATGATTACCATTCATTATGTTTATCGAGATATAAAACAATGACATTTCATTTAAACATAATAACATTAAGATTTCTATTCTAATCTACCTATCCTAACGCATATTTGTTATTGATTCAGATCATGAACCGATTGATGATGTTAGACCAAAATTGAAAACCTGAGAGCGCTGGATAGCTGCATCCCTCTGTTGTGGGAGTCCTCAACACAGTGCGCGTCAACGTTACCGCTCCCGGGATCAAAACTTGACCATCTCCAAAAACCCTTAACTGATGATATTTGTAGAGTTTGATATATATCATTAGTGATTATAAAACTTGAATGAATAATTTTCTCAATGAATCAATCCATATACACACTACTATTCATTTTTCATATAAACAGTATTTTAGGTCCAAATGAAACACAATTGACTATGAAATCTTTACACATTGAACAATCAAAACCAAACCATTTGTTAGTTACTATCAATCAACGAAATGATCATTTATGTCCAATGAAATTTCATTATGATCAATTACTTGATCAATTCATAAAAGAAAATGGTCATATTCAAGTGAATAATTTAATTATTCCTAAATCGTAAGTAATAACATTTTAGAAAACAACAAACTCTTCATTGACTTCACTGGTTGAAATCATGAGTCAATTGAAGTTAGATCACTATGGAAAACGTGGAAACACTGGATGGTTGATTCATCCTAGTCTGGGACTCCTCAGCAGTGTGCATCCACGATCTCGCCCCTTGTATGTTTCGGACTCAGAACCTGTTAGTCTCGCGTGCGTACCCTTAACCACTAGACCACTGAGATGGCCGACATCCAACGTTGTTAATTTCTAACTTCGACCAATCCACGAAGTTGCTGTCGCGCACGAGACCGATAGGTCTTGGGTTCGAATCTCGTGGAGGGTGAGGTTGTGGATGCGCACTGGTAAGGAGTCCCGGACAAGAATGAAACAACCGCCCAGTGCTTCCAGGTTTTCCATGGTGGTCTAGCTTCACAGAATGAAATCATGAAGTAAATATGTAATTTGCAAAACGTTCATCGATTGTCTCAAATTGACTCAGACTTCATTGTTCTTGCATTTTCATACAAATTGCATCCTGTTTCCATTCTTTCTTGTTTGATTCTCTTGTCTCTCTGCTGCCAGACCATCTGTTCACGACTAACATCATCTACTACTTACATCAATTTAAGTAGCACACACCACATTATAAGTAAATATTTCAGAATGCTACACGACAACTTGCATTACAACAGAAGTGAAAACATAGTTGGGAATACAAATACTTACTCAATATAAATAAGTAGTACAAAACAATATATACTGAAGACTGGAAGAAAAGTGTGTAAAAACAATGTAAAACAAAGGAAACACTAACCCCAATTAAGTCGATTATGACACATGAGGAAGTCACCAAAGTACATTCCACAATTAATTGAAAATTGTCTAATCTCACCAAACATATGGATCATTTATGTATGTTGATGATAACATTTCCATCTCTTGGATTATTGAATAATCACTATTGAATACTATGAATTTCAATTTCTTCAAAGTACAATTATAGATCTTTATAAACAAAACCCATGAAAATGAGAACCTCAAATGCCTTGGTATGGTTGAGAGTGAAGAGATTAGGCATTCCTTCTCGAAATGCCTTCACATGACCATGTGCATACAACCAATGTCAGGGAAGTCCAAATTGCTACCTTCTTGCATGAGGATTGTTGTTTATGAAGTGGAGAGGAGAAAAAGCGAATATCCAACACTTTAACCGGGTTGTAGGACACGGAGGATCCGTCTAGCGAATATGTAAAACACTAATTTCTAGCCACTGGTGTACATGAGTTCCGGAATCTCAAGAAAACAAACAGCATTTGGACCAATTTTTGATCATCGGCTATCATTGGACTGCATCTCCTGACTTGTGGTGTGGCCACCTAAGAAAACCATCTGCCACGGTTTTTGGGTACCCAATTAGTATCAAAGCCCTCACACAAATCGAATGATGAAGTATGAAGCATATCTATTCGATGCTTCATTGTATCAATGTGTTAAAATAATAATATAAGAATAACAAGTTAGATGAGATATTCTGTTCGGTCTATATTCTATACATGAAAATTGTTATATCCTAGTGAAGATTGAATTACGAGTAGCGTCTGAAAGCTAATAATCGATTAATATTATCTATATATTCTTAGGGTATACATATTCAGTAAATAGACTGTAGACATCTATATTCCTCTTATAATAAGCTTCATTTTAACCTATAGATTATTAGTATATGCTATATTGTTCTTAGTTTACGTTCAGTTTGGTTAGATGACAACTATACAATAAGATTATACGTATAGTATTGATACATAAATGGATCCCAAATGATTACCATTCATTATGTTTATCGAGATATAACACAATGACATTTCATTAGAAATGTTAGTCAAAAACAATCAGTCTCTTCATTCATTTCAAATTAGATCAATCGTTCGAATTGACAGTCTGTGAAGAGAAATTATCGATTTATGCTGATTGAGATCATGAACCAATTGATGTTAGACGACCATTGAAAACCTGGAAGCACTGGACGGCCGTCCAGTGTTGCTGGTGATGGTCTAACATCAATCCGTTGATGATCTCAATCGAAAACCTAAAAATCTTCGCAACCCCATCCTGATAATGATCGATATATGATTGGATAGAAGAGATTTTATGATTTTTAATGAAGATATAAATGAAGTCAGTTGAATGATTATTGAATTCTCGACTCATCATCACTATAAGTCAAAACTATAATGGTTTACATTTTCAATTCATTCATAAACCATTGGAAAACTTTTATCACAAATTATCTAATTCTTGACATTAATTACATCTCTATAGGCGATCTACACGAAATCCTACCTCATCTTTCATTTTACTAATTGGCGTTCATCATCTAGGGTATATGTTCAACTCTGAGAACACTGATATTCTCTGCGTGTTTAAAATAGACATCATATATCCTCATAGTTTGAGATGTGATCATTGACGATATTAAACAACCTATTGGTCTTTTGCCAATCTATCAAGTTGTAATTTATTGGTTTAATAGTTTTGAATATTAGTTGCCACTTCATATCTGTTCACTTTTCTCTTTATGATTATCAACCATACTTGTTTTCTGTTTTTCAATTTACATAAGGAATAGGATGAGTCAATTGTGTCCGCGATGTTCTAATATTCCAAGAGAAAAATCTCCACATTCAATATCTAGTCTTGATGAAAATGAAATAGATGAAGTTCGAAAGAATTTAGATCATCTTAAATCATTATTGATACAAGTTAAAAATCAACTCAATTCTTCACCCAATGACGAAAATGATGATGATAATATGATTGATGATTGATTGATTGTTTCCAAATACTTCTACTGAATTGAGTCTTTTACAGACTACTAAGAAGAATACTGTAGAATATGCAGAAAAGATTGATGATTCACGTCGAAATTTGCCTCATTATACTACATTTTCTGTGAAAAAATCAGACGAATATGCCGTGAGAAATTGGTAACTATCAAATTTTAATCATATTTAACTACTTATATCGATGATAGTAGTTAGAAACAATTGTGTTAATTAATTTCTATGACATGAATATCAAGTTTGTTTTTTTCTTTTCAAGTAAGTGGTTTCTTAAAATATCATTCATCTTATTATAATTAGCATTGGTATGTATGACATCTATCGTATCAATGTCCATCCCAACTTTACTCTTTAATTGTAAGCGCTGATGGATGGTGACTAGCAGTGGCTTCCAGCTTGACGCGCGTTTCGTCCTATTTGGGACTCATCAGCTGGATGTACCTGCATTTCAGAGAGTTGATGTTCACTCTAGCATTCGAACCCAGTAACATTCGCTTCGCACGCCATCGCGGCCGGTGTTTGCGTATACGTAACACGTGTCTCAGTGAACTCAACTAATGAAGTTTCACTAATCCATCAAATGATTTGTCATTCTTATCTAGTACTCATTTCCTAATAACTGGATTACTTACTCGTTGGACCCAGGATATACGATCAATGCTTCAAAGACATCTATGATCGAATGTCAGTAACATTATTATCTGAATATTACTGGAGATTAGTTTCAATCTTAGTAGCTCAATATCATCTTCTTTGGCCGATATTTGGTAATATGGATTCACTGTACTCACAGAACGTCAATCCCCTAAAGATTACAGATATTTCATACTGTCAAGTTCTACATATTTTAAGTAGTTGGATAATGACGGCCCCTAACTGATTGTCCGCTACTATTTGACATTGTTAAATGATAAATCCATACACATCATATTAGGTGAATATCGAACCAATTAGGAAGGTTGTGCAGTAATTCTAAAAGTATTTTATGGAAATTATTCACTTACAAACAGATCACGTAAGCGTAATCCTAGAATGACATAAAAAATTAGTGACATGTTTTCATAATGAGATAACTATAATGAATAAGGGATATGTTGATATGGAGAGCTAATCAGAAGTAGTCTAAGGCGAAGGTCAACCGATGGCAATCAGAAATCACCTGAAAGACATTTTCATTTCATTGTCTGTGAAATGGATCAATTTCCTAAGGATTAGAGTGGTATATATATATATATATACATGAATGTGTACAGATGATAGTTTTTCTTGAATAAAAAGCAGCATTTGACTCCGTGGATCGAGAGGTGCTGTGACAGTATTTGTCATTGAAAGGCTCATATCAGAAGTACATAAACTTTGTGAAAGCTCTTTACTCGAACACTACTAGTCGAGTAAGAGATAATGGCGATTTTGCAACCTCAAGTGGAGTCCGTCAAGGCTGTCCACTTTCTCCATTTCTGTTTAACTTCATCATAGATCTACTGATGGAAATAACATACTCGTCGACTGAATTCTCGGGTATTGATCTCCCGATCTTCCAAGAATACCACTTATCGACTCACAATACGCAGATCATATAGTCCTGTTCAGTGAAGACACTTGCTCATTCCAAAAGAAATGAACGAGCGAACGGCGATCGTTCCATTGATATAGGAGATGTAATCAGTAGTCCGTTTCTATAAATTCAACTATAGCTAATATACAATGTGATACATATATATATGTCAGTTACAAGTGTTTGACCAGCTGCAATGTTACCGTACAATTATGTAGATCTATGATACACAGTTGAACTATATACAACTGCAGGTAACCAAGCGAATGAAAAAAACATGAAGATTGGACCCCATAATTTTATAAATAACACAACAGCGATTAGCTTCAATTGATTTTCCTTAAGAGAAGTAGTAATCTTCTATAACATCAGAATTCTAATCATTTTGTCAGTCACATGAACAGATTATTACGAAGCGAAATATTTCATTCTAACTCAGATTTATATTACACCCACTAAACAGAATAGAGTATAGACAATACCATATGATCTCATTATGAGATGGAATGAGGTGATAATTGACAACAAAGTATGATCATTAGTGTTTTTATAAATAAAAGAGGTCAACAGAAATATGTTTGTTAAGAAAAAGCACACGTTGTCTACACTGAAATTGAAGAA